TTGAATGTTCATATAATCTAGAATACAACATTTCAATAAAATAATATTATTTTGGCCGAGGAATTACACTTAAATTTTTTTTTTGCGCTGCGCGATTATAAAACGTCAAATGAAATTCTTAATACAATACAAACACTCTGAGCTCACAGCGTATGCGTGTTTACAGACACGCTTGTTGGAATCGTAATTGCGCTAATGAAACGAATGACATCAAAGCTTTGCCTCGACACAAGTTCTCTGAAATTTCAAAATTATTATTTACTCTGTACAGCATGGCACGCAAATCCATATTCCACGATGATATGGATATTGTGCACACGTATGCGTTACAAACGAGCATCGAAGCTTCAAAGGCAACTCCGCGATTACCAACGTCTCTTGTACTTGCTACTCGACTGTAACGACTAAAGGGATCGCGTGTACATGGAACATAACGAGGTAGCTTATGTGTGTTTCTGATATACGTCAGATAAATTGTGCGTTTGATGAGTCGCGAGTTTGTCGCGACGCAGTTTTCCGAGATGCAAAGAAATCTGATATTAACATTTCACGAGAGATAATGTAAACTCGTAATTAAAAACTCCGTTACGTCCCTACGTACGCACGATGCAAACGCGTCACATGACAGTTCGTCATGTTAATCTGGCGCAGTCAAATTCTCTGACATGGCGGGATCGTTTTTGCTTTGCAGGCTTTGAAAAATCCTCTGGTTGGAATGTCTAAAGAAAAATAATTCACCGTGACACAAATCAATGGTAAATTAAAAGCGTTATTCAATTTAGGATATCATTTTGGCGAATTTCATTTTCATATGTTGATATACGATTTTAATTCGTCAATGATTCATTTAAAAAAACATACTTTCTTCGCTGATTCGTATTCTTTCGTTTTTTTAAATTATAGTACCCTTGAGTTTTTTCTTCCTATTGAGTGATGAGAAGCAGCCAGTGGAAGTGATTTTCGAATTAGACATTGGTAACCGTGTCAGAGTCATCGTCGAAAGAAAAATGCGGGTTGAAATTGAAGTGAGAATGGCATTCGCGAGAAACCAATAGCACTCATCGAAATGTCAAGCTCTTTTGCTACGCTTGAACGAACATGTATGTACGCGCGCAGTTTCAGATTCGCGCTCGTTAACCTGGCCATCTTTCTCGTGCCTGACGGCAGAAAAAATATAGTGATAGGACCAGATACGTTTCGCGTTCTAACACCATGTTTCCTGCATCCGGCGTCCCATTAAGCTATATTAATGCTTTTCTCTTTCCTATCGCGTTTTTTTTTTTTATTACGCGAACACAAATCCTTTTATTTAAATATCGAGAGATGCAACGAGATTTAAAATGTAAACATGAATAATTGAGAGCTTTTGTCCTATTTTCCCTTTTACGTATCAAAAATTGAAGAACGCATATTTTTAGAAAAATGTTTCTCTTTACCAAATATCAGGACGAGAAAACACTTTTGTATTAATTTTGAATTTTAATTAAAACAGCTCTATTGACATATTATTCGAACATAGTCAATAATATGATAGATCAATAATATTTTCATCGGTTTACAGTCATAGACGCGCTTAGAATCTTTGTACGTTTACATTAAAGAAGATCAAAGACAATGGTCGAAACATTTGCAATTTTTGGCTTTATGTAATTTAGTAATACATCTATTTGTGCATTTACGCTGAAAAAAATACTAAACTTAAATATTTGTTTAAATGTTGTAGGAAAATATTTACTAAATGTAAACATATTTATTTTTGATATAAAAACTAATAATTTTATTTAACTATCATTTCGTATTAAGTAATAAATATTTATTTACTGTAAATAAATGCTTAATTTTTTTTAGTACTATTCAAAGAAAATATTAAGATTTAATAATTTCTCTCTCTCTCTCTCTCTCTCTCTCTCTCTCTCTTTTTCTTAGTATACATCTGCGTAGGACTGTTCCATTTTATTAGAGGATCTTATTTATTTTATCATTCTTGTACTAATTTACGAGTTTTATAAATTTAAAAACGACATATTTCCATTCCGGTCATTTCTTTCTCGGAGCAAACATCATCCTTCGCGAAATATATTTTAACGCATAACCAGGCCTTCATATTTCTCTCCCATCTGAGAACCCTTCCCTCTTTCAAGCTTCTTGTTGCAGCCGCGATGTTCGAAAGCACCGTTCCGCGTCTTGCCAATTTTTTTTCCAGGACGATGTTTTCATCGCGCGATCGCGACGTGGAACCGCCAGCAAAAATTCCTTAAGCCGTAACTCACCGCACGTCTGCGTCGTGCAATACGCCACCGTAACTTACACCGGCTGGCCGCGATCGTAAAAGTAACGACGAGTTCGGGGGGAGGTCAAGTGCATTGTTATGCCGAGGCGAATAACCCAAAAATGTGCACAGCAGACGGTTAAGACGTTGGTGCGGCATCGTGGTGTAATGAGCGTGATTAAATAGCGCTTACGTATTTTGCATTACATTTTGCAATGCCATAGATTCCTCCACGAATTTACGAGACGTCTGATTAGAATCTACCCCTGCCTCAGGCTTGGTCTCGTTGAGCCTCGTACACGTGCGCATGAGCACATACTGGTATTTGATCGTATCTCCCGATAACATACTGCATATAATTCGAATAGTGTATTTGCCTGAAACTACAGATACGTAATATATATATATATATATATAGATATGTATTTGTATGATTATATATTTGGAAATGCCCGAGTATTTGAATTGGTAAAGGAATATACTGATTCGCGAATTTATGTGAATATCTGCATTAGAAATTCAATTCATTTCGATCTATTACATACGTATATAAAATGTGTATGAATATTTTATATTTCGAACGACTACTTTCCTTCATTTTCAATATAATCCATTTCTTAAGTGCTATATGAAGATTTAACTGATAAAAGAAATTGAGACAGGCAAATTGCAGAAATATCACGTCCATTTAAAAACTGATCTTTTAAGCATTGCATCTCATAAAAAATAATGGGTTATTTAAATCTTTTGTGCAAAAATGACCTTTTCATTTTTCTAATTTTCTTGTATACTGTTAAGATTTAAAACAAGATATAATGCTACATAGAAATATCCATTAAAAAAAAAACAAAGTGCAAGAACGCATTGCAATTGTGACATCATATCGATTTTCACATGCATATACATATATATATATATATATATATACCGCAACTGCAACGATGCATTATGACGCGATTAAATTTTGTCGTTGCCAAAAATATGAGGCGGGTCAAATCGAACAATCTACGACACTCTCTATAACTTAGAGGCATTGCCCGTAGACAGGCGATATTTCACACTGCGCGAGAAACCGCAGACTGAACAGAGGCTGCCAATGAATTACGACATGGTCTATGTAACGTGCAATCGTGCGTATGTAATTTTCGGAAGACACACACAACGACAAGTGGTAACTCGAGCCTATGTCGAACCCATATAGCGCAGTGCGCATATAAGCGTTTCCTATAATTTAATTAAACGCCCGTGGGTTTCAGGACTACTCAGGCTGCAGCAAATTTATCAGGGGTTGAAACCAGGCAACGACTCCTTTCAAGTTGAAACCGTCAAGAGAATACAGAACATGTCAGAGGCGATCGATTTCCTTCGTAGCTTGGAGGAGCTTAATCGGTGAGTCTTTTTATTTGAAGCATATGACACACATAAATAAAAAGCACAACACGTTTTGCTGCAAATATCATAGAAGTGTTCAGAATCCACACCTGATATTGTTAAGTATGAATATTAAGCTTTTTTTATTATTTGCTCCAAGCATATATTTTAGAAATTCGCTCCGAGTTATTATATAAGAAAATATATATTTAAAAATCAGAGTTAATATATTCTATAATTTATTATTATCTTGTATTTACAAGTACATTCAATACGTAAACAAGTAAAGAGTTTCGGAATATATTACAATAATGCGTGATGTCATAGTATCTATAATAATAAACACAATTTTGCTTATATTCGATTAAAATATTAATAAAAATAGAAATAAAAAAGGTTCTAAGAGTAAAGCAATAAAAAAAAGAGATAAAATAGTCAATGTAGATATTGAAGCGCAGTATTTAAACATTTATTGTTAAAATGTTATACAAATATCGTAGTCGCAATCACAAATGTTTTTTGGTTCCTCTTCAGTACACAAAAAAAATATAGAAAATATTAAATTAAAAAATTTAAAGATGTAAAAATTTAAAAAACTAAATCTTTTTTCTGTATTCTTTTTAAACTCTTGAATTTAATATTATTTTCTATATATTTTGCATTGAAAAGAACCAAAACCATGCATGAAAAATTTACGATTGCAATATTTATATGTAAAATTTTAGTAATAAATGTCTGCACTTCGACATCGTTAACTTTCATTAATGTTTTTATCTCGATTAAAATACATGTTGTATTTTAAGTTCTTTCATTTTCAATAGAATGCAGCTGTTGGAATACTGTGTCCACACATTTCTGTACTCGGTGATTATTTAGTACAATTGTTATTTTCTTGTAAAATGGCTTACCAACGGCGTGATGGATAAGGCTAGTCGTAGCACAAGTTGGCATGCTTGCATTGCAATTCACCAGCGGCTACGCATTTGCGCGACGCAAGTAATCAACAACAGCGAGTAATTGCCATCGCGGTGGTTTGAATTGGCCGGGCGTGGTAGTTACCGAAAACAACGGCGTTATTGCAAATTGCCATACAATATCCAATTATTACAAACGAAATGAGCGCGGAAACTCCGCGGTGCATCGATCAAATGCGACAAAGCCACGCGTTAACGCAGCGCGCGAATTGCGGCGAACCAGCGTACGAGACTTATGTCACTCTTCCGATGGAAAATTCAACATGGCGAGTCCTTTCTCCCGCGTGGACAACTAATCCCAGTAAATGTCATTAAAATATTACAGATGGAGTAACAAATACGTCGTTCTTGACTGTCCGACGGACATGGCGAAGGATATCGTTGTGAGTCATGTGAGAGACGTAGCCTTGGGAAAGAGGACGTATCATTATCTGCTGAGTGGCTTGGTGAGTAGAACAACATAGAACTTAATAATTCAACCATTCAACGATACCAAGTATCATTTTCGTTTTTTTTTTTATCTCACAGTTAATTTTTCCAAGTCATAATATCTAACAAATATTTTCTCCACAAATTGCTTGCTTAAATGTCTTTTTAAAATGCTGTGTTAATGCTTCAGATGAACAATGACATTATCTGACAAAAATTTGACCTTTACGAATGTGAATAGTCGTTTTCGATGTATTTTTGCCTGTTGAACACGAATCCAAATTTGGCTATCACATCACATAATTTTGAAAAAAAGGCGTCAAAGAGATAAAAAACGACAATTTTAAAAGTTTACATGATGTCGCAGCACCGGCAGCAATTTTTTTTTAATTTCGTTAACGCCACGTGAAAGTACCTTTAGCTTTAAAATGAATTTCGTTTCATTTCAGCGCAATTTTTTATTTTCGAAATATAGTAATTTGAAAATAGCTCTTTTCGCATGTAATACGTATAAAAGACATTTTATTCCATCAATATTGCATTATAGAAAATAAACGTTTTTTTACTTACATTATATAACCTGATCGTAAATAAAAAAATAACAAAATAGAATATGATAGAAAAATTATAATCTTTAATATGTGTGTGCGTGCGTGTGTGATTCTAGATTATAATCGTTCTGTATTTATAATACAAACTTTAAAATCATTTTACCTCTTTGATATCACTTTCTCAAAATGGTGACGTCATAGTCAAAGAATGGTATAACTTTCACTTTTTTGTTACCATTTAAGGATCATTTTATTTCAATATTTTTTTATATGTGTATTTTTTATTCATAAAAGCCGACAATTCTTGTAATAGTGATGCTACACTGACGCATTGATTGATACATTGAAATAAAGAATAAAATCCTTATTCACATCGTTACGAAATCGCTGTCAGTTATGCTTCATTCATTTAAAAACTAATTCAGAGTTGTTGATCCAATTCTCTGAACTAGTTTTTAAATGGTTGAAGTATAACTGACAGCGATTTCGTAACGATGTGAATAAAAATTTTATTGACTTTATTTCAATGCACCAGCAGTTTTTTCTTGTAGCATTATTATTATATTTTTCAGTTTCTACGAAGAAAAATGTACATAAGAAAATGCAGAAATAAAATTATCTTCGAACGGTCGTGTGCGCACAAAAAGTTGTACTCTCCTTTGGACAACGGATTCGTGTTTTACAAAAATATATCTCAGTTACCAACACTCGTATTCCAAAATAATGTTATGTATGAAGTTGATATATTTAGCCTAAAGTAAATAGAATTTATTATTTTACAATTACTCGAGAATTTCCCTCTCTTTACTTAAATATCGGTGACTCTCATTCCTATGCTTCTCCAGCCGGAAAATTCCGTATGCAAAACAGTGACTTTCGCTTTACTGCGCGAAAGTGCTCTCACTTGTACACCATCTGCGTTATAACAGGATGGCGGGATTAATTCGCAGCATGGTGAAATTTTCGAAACAAGCGAGAACCGTCGCTCAAACTGACACGAAACGCTCCGTCGTGGGGGCAAGATCTTCGCCGGTGATGTCTCCGCCGTACTTTAGAATTTAGAGGATAGTTTGCTTGTGTTTAGCGGCTTCCAGCGAGTTGCTGCGGAAGAGCAGGCGGCATTACACTCCACCGACGGAGAAGATAGTTGTACATACCTGCATGTACATCTAGTTCCATCTCTCTACGAAGCACGCCATTGTCATTTATCGCGTCATTCTCGAAACGGTTGCGCAGACGTGTCGATTCGCACATTTTCTCTGCTTTCTGCAATTCGCTTCCTTTTACCTTTCTTCTTACCCCTTCCACCTCTCTCCCACAATCATCGACTTGAGAATTCAACGACCAAAGGGGACAATTGCCAACGTTTAACTAGAGAGAGAGAGAGAGAGAGAGAGAGAGAGAGAGAGAGAGAGAGAGAGAGAGAGAGAGAGAGACAATTTCATCCTTCACACCAATTTCCACCGCCATATTTATAAATCTACAACATTCTGGTCTCTTTAACTAAGTTCCTTAGTAGAAACGCGAGTATAAATACAAGCCTAATAGTTGTTGAACAACTAGCAATGTCGGATATTACAAAACTTTATCCGCTCTCTGACCGCAAATGTAAAAGTTCAAAAGTCAACGCTGCAATGGCGGATGGGATGATGTCAGACCGGCAAATTAAACTGGTAACGTGGCGAACTCGTTGCGACGAAGTTAAACACGCATACAACGCTAACATTGTCCATGTATTATCTCCAGCCGGTTGATGGATGATGGTAGATAGCCGTGCAGTAGTAAAATAGTGAATAAATCAGCCGCGAGCGATACAAAATGCGAAATCTAATAATAACACATTGCAATTATTATAGAAACCGGATATTATTAGTTCAATATTATTAGTTAAATTTTCAACAAAATCAATGTTATACCTATATATACCGCTAAAAGTGTTTCTTCTGGTATCGCCGCTGTTTTCCGGCACTCTTGAACAAATAACTGCGTTTAGCGGAGAAAACTGATCAATGAGCACTCAGTGATTCTTCAATATAATTAGTTCTGACCTTTTATTCTTCGCTGGATCTAATTGTGTAAGTATAGGAACGAATAGTATTAAAGAATCATTGAGCGCTCACTGATCTATTTTCTCCGCTAAACGCAGCCAATCTGTTCTCCATCCTTTGTTCGTTTAGTTTAACGATCGCGAAAATAAGTAATCGCAATTTTAATTGGATTTATCGTTTTGCAAGCGTTTACACTTCGTGGCGAAGCGCAGACGTATCAATTTCCGCTCCTCTTGCTTCTCATCTCGTTCGGAAGAACTGCCGGGCGTTAACACAAACGACGAGCTTTTCACAGTTTCGAGGTTTTGCCGCGCATAATACGCAGTAACAACGCAATATCAGCATAAAATTGGAACGGTAGCTGCATTCGAGCCCGAGTAATTAAATACGGCGGGGTCTAAGTTGAAATCGAGACGTCAGTTCTACTTACGTTTTTCATAAGGGAACAAAGGAAACGCGGTAATAACGCGCCGTAATAATATTACAGTGACTCAAGTGCTCGTTCTCGAGTCGACTTTAAAGACGCGACGAAAGATCAAGGACCTCGTTGGCAGGCGGACGCTTCTCGCAAAACTATAGACTATCCCTTTAGAACGCCGAAAGCTGAAATGGGAGCTGGTAACCTTTATCACACAAGTGAACAAGAATAGCTTCGTGTATCTCGCAGATCCCTTGCATTTCCTTTCGTGTACCAATACTCCTGTATATCTCGCTGTAATCAGATAATGGACGACCGATGGGAGAGCGAAGTGATCGAGTATGGCGCCATCAACATCACGGGTTTTCGCATCGTGGACGCTACTCGACCTCACGTCAAGGATTTCTTGGCCAACTGGCATCGCCAGGATCCCGCCACGTCTCAAGGCGCCGGTCGTGAATCCATTTCCGTACGTATATGTTCACGTATCAGCAGTGCCTCCCTTGCGAGACCCCGTCGTCACTTTTTCTCACGCCTGTCCTTCGTCGGTGGCTTCTACATGCTTTCATGGTTCGCGTCCAGAGGGGAAACTACCCTTCGTGCGAAATCCTCGGAATGCCTGCCGAGCGCGGTGATTTCCTCCCGGTGGATCGAACACTTTCTTAGGTTTTCTCCACTTTCCTGGAGTACGCGTTGTCGACCGACGACGGCGACGACGGCACGAAAGTTTCACACGAGAAACGAGAATCAAACAAGAATCGTCGCAGATCCGTTCGCACGCGCGATCTCGTGTCGTTCACTTACTCGTGTGTGCACAGCGGCTTGAGACCAAACTTGTTAAGCAGCACCCGCATGTAGAAACTTGGACTTTTCAGTGCGTTTATATAAAGTGCCGCTCGCTCAACCGTGTCGATCCGCACGGATGTGTTTCGCCTTCCTCTTAATGACTTTTCCTTCGTCCGCGCGTTAATAATATTTTTTTTCCTGAAGTTTTTATACGAGTTTAAAAAAAACGAACGTTTAACGATGCGGGACAACAAATTTCTCTAAAATTATTGTTTTATAAAACTTTTTGTCAAAATGGACGACTTTTTCGTGCAATAATTGTGTTAATAATATAATATTTAAATCAAGTTAGATTAAAATGGATTCTAATCAAGATAAAAAAAATATTAAATTATAATATCTATTTATTTTATTATAATTTTTTATTTAAACCATTGGTATATACGTAATTATAATTATGAAAAACATAACATCGATCTATAATGCTCCATAAAAAGTAAAATTTTATTTATTTGTCACATTTTATTAAGAAGCAAAATATTGTCTATATAAATAATTGATATAGTCATAATTATATTTATTTGTTAGTTGTATTTCTAATTTCGTGAAATCATATATTAAGGAACGTACTTACTCGATAGTTTTGCATGAATTTCGCTGTGCTACAAGAAGCGACGAATATAATCTCTAAAATGGATACACGACTAACGGGATTTCGGGGTAAAGTTGTGTGGGGCACTATCTATGGATCTGAAAGCTCTCTCGGAGACAGGCCGCATGCAATCTAATGCAACGATTATCGTGCCCGATCGTTATATTCAGCGAGCACCAAACGCGGTTTTCCAACACTGGCGAAGTGCCCGAGGTACTCTTGTCTCTGTGAATTTACGTACACCACAACGTGATGATGAATTCCTCTCTCAATCTCGCGAAATTCTTGATCCTATTGAGGAATAAAGTCTATAACTAGAAATCAGGAATTTTTTTTACTAAATTCTTACTCTTTTTTCGAAAATCGATATATCGCAACAAATAATAAGGAAGTAGAGAAGAATTATTTTCTGTATTTGTGCAATGTACAGAAACTGTATGAATTAATTCATTGTGCACGTGTATTAAAATTAGGCACAAGCAGCTTTGATGTACGACGCTGTGTTCGTCCTGGTTGAAGCCTTCAACAAGCACTTAAGAAAGAGAAACGACAAAAATAATATGAGACGAGTAACGTCGACCAGCAATCAGACCATAAACGGAACCAAACCTTTAGACTGCTATCACAATCGCGGTTGGGTCACTCCGTGGGAACACGGCGATAAAATCTCCAGACTTTTAAGAAAGGTAAATGAATATTTCATTAGCAAAAACTAATGTAATAGCACACGTAACGTTCTTAAAATTATTATAGATTAATATATTTTCAAATATGTAAATATATGCAAACGTATCATTATCTCTACACATATTTATAAAACCTTAAAATCCTATATATGAATTATGCATTGCTGGCCATTGTATATTGAATCAAGTAAATGGACGAATTAGCATAAATTACTGCTGTAAAATTTTAGATTTCTGTTTCTGTCTTAATTTTTAATGGATATTTATTATCATCAAATATGCTATCGTATCATTCAAATTTATATTTCAATAGTGCGTACGCATAATTGCAGCAGATATACGTAATTTATTTTCAAATTCCCGAGACGCAATCCAGAGGACAGGAGTACTCAATGTGTTGCGAAATACCGTGGCGACCGAAATTGCCACGGACCCTCCTCGACGTATCTCTGCTCTTGACAGTAATTGGCGGTTATTCCGACTCTAGCGGAATTCCTGCGTTCGCGTCAAATAGTCCTCCGTCATTCCGACCTTATGTATACATGCTGTTACTCTCGTAACTTTTTTTGCCTTTTAATCTGCTACCGTTTGACAATTTATCATGTCAAGATTGGACTCACTGGCAAACGAAAAAACATAAAAAAGGATTTAACATTAGAATGATCTTTTCGATAAGTTTCAATAGATGATAATACTTTGGCTTATATCTTAATAATGATACCGTTCTTCTATTAAATGTTTCCTATCAATTTAATTATTTTTAATTAAAAGAACTTTACAATTTTATTATAATGTTTTAAATCTATATAAAGTAATTTGAAAATTATAGAATATTATTAAATTTTTATTTTTGCGTACATTTAATATTTATTATTTATATTTTGGAAATATAAATTTTGTATTTTTTTTCAATATCTAAAAAATATTATATTATGTAATAATCAGCGTTTTTTATTCTATTTTTTATTCTTTTCCTTGATTTTATTTTAAAAGCAAACAAGGATTGTCAAGATATCTTATTGCAGCGAAATATGAAAGGTGCTATTAAAATTTATTTATGTGCAGGTCGAGATCGAAGGATTGACAGGAGAGATACGGTTCAACGACGATGGCCGACGACAGAATTATACGCTTCATGTCGTCGAAATGACTGTCAACAGCGCTATGGTGAAAGTAAGTTGTTTAAACATTGTTTAAAAATCTATAATATATTTAATTTTAATACTCTTGATAATTTACAATTTAAAAATATGAAACAAGTTATATAAAAAATAAGGGCAAAGAGTCAATAATATTTATCACGACAACCATCTACATTGAGAAAAAAAAGTTGTTAACTGAACTAAATGCGTTTAGTTGATTATGATTTGTTTAGTCAAAATATTAATGTATTTGAGTCAAATACACAGTAGTCAAATACACATTTGTTTCACTTATTTCGACATGACGTATCTTTGAATTAACAAATATTTGCTTGACAGCTCGTGATCGCCGTATTTAGTTGAGTCAACTAATATTTTTTTAAATCAACTACTTTTTTTCTCAGTGTATAAATACTTTTACAGTTTCTTACTAATATATGAGATTTTTTGCGCAACGTATCTATTTCTAAAAGATTTATTTTAAGAGAATTGTATATGTAACTTATTGTTATAGGTAGCTGAATGGACCGATGAGGCTGGTTTTCAACTAATAGCTGCAAAATACGTGCGACTTCGTCCGCACGAAATCGAAAAGAATAAAACCTACATCGTTACTACGATATTGGTAAGTTCATGTGTGTGTTCATACAACAGGTATATGCAATCATATACGATTAAGATCAATAACGTGATAATTTCGATTAATAGGAGGAGCCTTTCATAATGAAAAAAGTATCAGACACAGGTGAAGTATTAACGGGAAATGACGGTTATGAAGGATACTGCAAGGACTTAGCTGATCTCATTGCGAAGAAATTGGGCATATCATGTAAGTTTGTTATGACAACTTTCCTTAAAAATTGCGCTAATATTCTCTTAGAAATCATGCAATTAAATTAATTCTTTCTCTCTCTTTCTTTCTCTCTAATATTAGGTATAACTATATAATAAGATATGTATATAACATTTATACAAAGTAAAAATATTCTAGTTATTATGAAATAAATGTTTTGTATGAAATATTAAATATTATCATTTCATACAAAACATTTATTACTTTGAAATTTACTTAACATCTACTAAATATATAGTACTAGAACAACGTTGAGGAAAAAGAGAGAAACGGGACCGCAGTCTTTGTTTCGGTGCTTCCCTCCGGCGGCGTACGCTTCCGAATAATTTTTAATTATTAATGCTAACGACTCTCATTTAACTCGCACAAGAATTAATAATTCAAGCAAGAATTACTTTTATTATGAGCAAAATTTGCCGAAGTCAGACTACTGCACCCTTGACAAGTACCTAAAAGACGTAACGAAGCCTCTTCCGCGCACGGAATCGATAATGGAAAAAGTTCTGTAGAAGAAATGCTGTTTCGCGCACCCCGTAAAGTACTTTCTTACAAATTTTCAGACGAGCTGCGGATCGTGAAGGACAGAAAACACGGCACGGAGAACCAGGACGTTCCAGGCGGTTGGGACGGCATGGTCGGGGAGCTTATCAGAAAGGTAAGTTCCAGTAATTTTGTTGTATCCGCTATATCTTCAACGTGGAACGCTTTTTCTCCCCCGAAACCGGTCTCCCCGGAAGTTTACGCGGAAAGACGCCTCGAGTAATTGAACCCATCTTCTCGCAAGTGAGGGGGACTATTGATCGTCGCGCAGTCGTATAGTCCAAATGCCCTACGAAGGAGCTGTTTTATCTCCCGACAGCGAGTTTGAACCTGCTCCACTAGATGCCCTGAGCTTGCAAGCTCGTTAGTCGCGATTCGATTTTAAGTTCCATCTGGTGGGAATTTAGGATAAGCCCAAAGCACCCGAGCTTTCAGTTACATCTCACGTAGGTATGCCCGCTTCCGCGCTTCAAAAGATACTACGAGTATAGAAAACAAAAGCATAATAAAATTGAAAATTCTATCATAAGGCGCTAAGGCGCTTTGAGAGAGATTATATGCAATTCTAAAATCTTTTTCTTTCCCAAATTTTATGTAAACAGATTCAGCTATGAATATAATAATAATTGAAGAAGAGAAATGTAACTGCAGAACCAAAAGCACAAATTATGCATAATCGTCACAGTAAATCCTGTTGTCATACTTCTTTGTCTTCAGTTTTATCTTATTATTCGTCTTTGTTCTTCAGTTACATTTATAATTACGCTCAAGAAATATGTAAATTATTTGTAATTAATTGTTGATATGTAAGGCTAAGATGCTTCCTTCGGAAATATTTAACAATCCGTTTAAGGTTCATTTGATATTTTCTTTTTTTCAATTAGTATATTTTTTTTAATCTAGCGTGTCTCTTTTTATTAGAATATTCAGAAATTAATGTTTTTTTCACTGTTGTATTATTTAATCGTAACTTCAATATTAATATGTGTACATCGATTATTTTATTTGATTCGCAGGAAGCTGACATTGCAATTGCTCCTCTGACCATCACTTCCGAGCGTGAACGCGTAATCGATTTTAGTAAACCGTTTATGTCTCTTGGCATTAGTATCATGATAAAAAAACCGATCAAACAAAAACCCGGGGTCTTCAGCTTTCTGAATCCGCTGAGCAAGGAGATCTGGGTGTGCGTTATTTTCTCTTACATCGCAGTTTCTATCGTCTTGTTCATTGTATCGAGGTAAGAAACTTTTTATCAAAAATTGTAATCTTTTTGTATGAAAATTTTAAATATAGAAAATGGATATTTTTAAACTAAATACAGCAGTTTGAATCAGAGATCGACGCAACGCTTATTTTTTCAATTTTCACACTTTTCCACAGTAATTGACGAAACGTATCTTATTAAACCTAATACATTAATTCGTAATTGTAAATATAAATTATGAAAAAATAAATCGATGCATTTCTCATTTCACAATTAAACGAAGAATTATTCATTCACATTAATAGTAATCAGCTAGATCTATCAAAGAGGAGCTCGTCATCAATTTTAATCTAGCTTCATAGATTTTCTATATGTTGTCATATCAAGACAATTACGATTATATTTATAACAATACAAGCTACAAATTACATTCGTCACGCTTTTACATCCTGTTACTCACATTTCTTATCTTGCTTATTAATGTTTATTAATGCATCACTACAATCAAACGCAATATTTCATCAATAATAAATCACATAAAGACTCATGATTCATATTAGCTGAACCACGTAAAGTTCGAAAATTGTATTTTAAATTACTCATTATATTTACATTGAAATAGTGCAGCCAAGTATTTGACATTACATGCAACTATCTCAAAATATCTCGAGGAGACGTTTGTGAAAGCTCTCAGTCTTTAACGAGAACATAACGAGCAAGGGGAGAAAGTTTTTAGATAGTCTCATAATTAATGAGACACTTCGCACGTCGTTTGAAGGAGATCTTCTACTTGGTACTGGTGATGCATACGATGTGCGTGATATTACTCGAGAATATGACCATCGGACTTAGAATATTAATCCAATTTTCAGATCTTTGTAGAGTGACATTTAAATACATAATGTATTAACTTCGAAACAAATCTACTATATACGTCATCACACGCATATAAAATTAGAGACATAAGTTTTAATTTATTGACATGACAAGCAACCCATATATTACATATTAAACAATATATTTATTCACGTAATCAACTGGAATGTGCAATCTTATTCTGTAAAACACTAATTAATATACCAACAATTTTTCAATAACTATGCTTAAAGTATCAGTATATATACATATATATAAAACACTTATTGCATAATATAATTACAAGATATCTAAAAAATATAAAATAACATTTAGATGTATTTTCTTAAATGCCTCTTAAACACTCTTCATCCTCTCATGTTTTAGAAAGAATAAAACATTTTGGAGGAATTTAAAATTTTTTGTTTTTCTTCAATAATATAGGTTTTCGCCATATGAGTGGAGAGTTCTAACCATAAGCGGCAGCACAGATTCAGCTATTAGTGGACGAAACGACTCCGGTTTGCAGCATCCACACACGCCACAAGGTTCCCCTCATATGCCAACTTCCAGCATGGCCAACGACTTCAGCATCGTAAATAGCCTCTGGTTCGCTCTGGCGGCGTTTATGCAACAGAGCTGCGATATCTCACCCAGGTAAACACGTGACTCATGTTATTAATTTCCGACAGTAATTAATATCTAGTCGAGAAGAGGTCCCCGCAAACTTAGCAATTTTTTTATAATCGCTGGATTTAATGTTGGCTCGCACTCGTGCTACAAGTTCTGAATTTTAAGTGTTGTTATAAATGATGCCCGCGGTTGAAGCGGTTTTCCCCTCTATAATTATCAACTACGCATCAATCGCACGGTATTTACTCTGTAGATCAAAAGCAAATTAAACGTAAACCCTCACTAAAAGTACTTTTAGGAACGGATTCGTATCTTTTTCATGTTCTTCGATTGTTCTAGATAATCGCCGAATTTTTAATGCTATCGTAAATGATACTTGATGTAGAAACGTCTTTTCTCTCACACTGATTATTCGATACACATACATGTATGTGTATAATATATCATATTGAGATTTTGTAGCTCTTGTATGTCAAATATTTATTCTACAAAATTTGTTTTTTCAATATTATTAACTCAATAATTTCAGAAATTTAATTTAAACTTTAATTACATCATAATTAATATCAGAAATTGAAATAAATGAAAACTTTTTCTCTTTCCCTTTTCTCTCTTTATATATATTTTGTTATTAATTAAATTATTTATTATATAATTTATACATCATACTATTATACTTTATATATTTATATTTAAATATAAAAGTATTTTACATTCACTAAAGAATTCCAAATTCGAGAAAAGAAAAAGGGAACATATATTATCGTAAGAGAACTCATGTAAACAAAGCATATGCTACCGTGCGATCTCGCTATTAGCCAGGATTCGGGTGGGATCAGATATTTATCTCGAAGGTAGATGTGAACTTGCGAGAGAATGAAAGAGAGAGAGAGAGAGAGAGAGAGAGAGAGAGAGAGAGAGAGAGAGAGAGAGAGAACAGCGCGCGCAAGTGGCTCCCACGTTCTTCTCGGCTAATTATAGCCACCCACTCTTGCCTCCCTCCGTTTCCGTTTCCGCGGTATAAGCGCAGGTAAGTACATAAAGGCACAGGGAGAATAGCTCCCTTTACCCGGGACAGGTCGAGCGTACCGCCTGGTAATAGGATGAATCGGGTAAGATTCTAAGAGCTTCCCAGTTGACGTTTAAAATCTCTCGTGTAAATTGTTAAAGCGCCTCTCCGCGGATGAACGTTTGACTTAAAAAGCTCTTTACAGCATTTCGGGAAGCACTTCGTGCTAAATACGGCCAAGATAAATAATTTTAATAATTTCTTTTTATAGACTCCAATTATTCCATTTGCGATATATGCAGGACAAGAAGGTTATACTAAGAAACTGATTCCACAATCGTGAATATACATATATTGTTAAAATTAAAATCAGGTTTCTAGAACGTGCCATACAGGTGTATATTATACATACGTATCAGAAGTTGAAAATCTTTTATTATTGATATCCTTTGTAACACATTCGTTATTCCAAAGGCTCGCACGATTACTATACAAGTACTATAGAAAGCATACGTTATTTGGTTTTTAGAGTACTTGCAAATATATCTCGCTATTATTTTCGCGATAAACACGCGTTATCATCATCAGTGCCGTCATTATACTCTCGTTAGCAAACATTTCAATCACTCTTATCTTGTGCACTGCTTTACTCATGCTATATAAATACGTTCATGCTACAAATTTTTATATTCGTCAAGATTGATAATGTACAGTGCAATCAAAATGTGCTTGTACTTAATAACATAAAGCACTCAAGTAAGCACAGATTGATTAGATCGGTATTGCGCAAAATAATTCTAATTCAAATTATGTTAATTAAATGCGAGTTTATAATTTACAGAAAGAAATCAGATCTACGTTCGCAATAAAATTGGCGACCTTATTGTGCAACGCATAATTTAGATCGGCTTTATAATCGCTAGATGATTATGGCCGCGCGAGACTAGACTCATTTGAATAAAGTATGCCGCACGTGCAAAAATCCCATTCACGATACATGTACCGACTACATATAGTAAATATTAATTTGCACATCCCCTAATGCTTTGATAATTTTATTTTACATATTACCAACAATTATATGATAATTTCTTTCAAATATAGTATTTGATCTTATAAAATATTATTGATTGAGTTTTTTGAAAGTTACTTAATCAATATTCATATCTTAAAATTGGCGTGTCACGCTTTTTTGAAGCCTCTATTCGTTGAGGCAGTTAACCCTTACTAGTCTAACGTTTTTTCGGCACCTTTAATGGTCTAACGTGGGCCATTCGTGTCTCGGCGTTTTTTAGACATGTTAAAGGGCTTTAAAAAATCTGCAAAAATTCATGGACTTTCATTAATTCTTCAATTTCAAGAAAAAAAAATTTGTATGTCGAAAATAATTATTTTTGTATATAATTTTGTATTAAAAATGGTGGTACCGCGTGTAAAATCACTCGATCACTTAAAAAATCATAACTTCAATCCAAATGAAGCTATCGACATAAATCAAAGTGGAAATTAAAGGTGAAGAGTGTACCTTTTAGGAAAAAAATAGTACATGCGGCCATTTTGAAAAAAAATGCTTAATTTTTTAACCTCAATATTGCAAAAAATTAGATACAAATTCAACATTAACCCTTACTAGTCTAACGTTTTTTCGGCAAATTCAACATTAAAAAGAGGGAATAAAAGGTTCAAATTTCGCCCGGGACTTGAACGACCCACGTTAGACCATTAAGGGTTAAAGTAATCCGAAAATGGTGAATTTTGGTAACAAGGAATTTTCGGGGACGCTCTTTTAAAAACATGGTAAAAATTATGATAATTAAAAAAGACTTATCCGATATGGCGGACGGAAAAGATGCGAAAATCTTAAAGTTTTCCGATTTCGGCGAAATTTGGATTAAGGGAGCTTACGCGGACGCTGATTTCGAATCCGTGATCAAAATTAGGAAAATCCAAATGGCTGATCCAAAATGGCGAACGGAAAGTGTTGCGAAATACATAAAAATTTAAAAATTTCGGCGAAATTTGAATTAAGGGGGCTTACGCTGACGCTGATTTCGAATCTGTGATCAAAATTAGGAAATTCCAACTGGTTAATCCAAAATGGCGGACGAAAGTGTTTCGAAATACATAAAAATTTAAAAATTTCAGCGAAATTAGGTAAATGGGGGTTACCGCGAACGCTGATTTTGATTCCCTGTTCCAAATTTTTAAATTCAATATGGCAGACGGAAATGTTACGGAAATCAATAAGATTTTCCGAATATGACAAATTTAATAAGACGCAAAGAAATGTAATTATAATTTAAAGCTTAATCGACTATACTTTGGTGTAAATTTTGTAAGAGAAAATTACATGGTCGTTCAAAAAAAAAAAGAATCGCGCGCGTAGCGCTCTGTGAAGTTGGCACCCCTAAATGCGAATATTGGTAATATCATTATTGCATTCGTTTGTCCACTGTTTGTCCACGTTTGTCCACCCGTTATTTTCTTTGGTCCACCCCGCAAAAAAAGGTTATACACAAAAAAAAATTGTAACATCCCCAAGTGATAATTTTTCATAATTATGTACGGGTATCGTTTGTCCACAACGCGCACGTGATTGTCCACCCATTATTTTCATTTGTCCACCCTATTTTTATTATATTTTTCGTAATAATGTAAAATAATCACTTGGGGGTGTTACAATTTTTTTTAATGTATAACTTTCTTTTGGAGGGTGGACAAATGAAAATAACGGGTGGACAAACGTGGACAAACAGTGGACAAACAAATGCAATAATGATTTTACCAATATTCGCATTTAAGGTGCCAACTTCACAAAGCAGCTCTGTAAAGTTGGAATCTGTAAATGCGAATATTGGTAATATTATTATTACATTCGTTTGTCCACTGTTTGTCCACGTTTGTCCACCCGTTATTTTCATTGGTCCACTCTCCAAAAAAAAGTTATACAAAAAAAAATTGTAACACCCCCAAGTGATTATTTTACACTATTACGAAAAATATAATAAATATAGGGTGGACAAACGAAAATAATGGGTGGTCAAACGTGGACAAACAATAGACAAACAAATGTAATAATGATATTACCAATATTCGCATTTACAGATTCCAACTTTACAGAGCTGCTTTATGAAGTTGGCACCCCTAAATGCGAATATTGGTAAAATCATTATTGCATTCGTTTGTCCACTGTTTGTCCACGTTTGTCCACCCATTATTTTCATTTGTCCACCCTCCAAAAAAAAGTTATACACAAAAAAAGATTGTAACATCCCCCAAGTGATTATTTTTCGAGTTCGTATCGATTGCTTGAGAATTCATTTTACTAAATTAATGATTTTTTCGAAAAAATACGAATGAAAAATATCAAAAGAAACGAAGAACAACTGAATAAGATTAAAAGAAGACGAAAATCATCATCTTCATGACTATTTCAAGAAGCGGGGAAAAATAAAAAAATAAAAAAAATACGAAAATCAATAATTTAAAATGAAGACAGTTAATTAAAACTAACGGAAAAAAAGGAAAAAACAAATAATAATCTCATAAATTAGACAAATCCGGAAAAAAATTTTAAGGATGTATAAATGCTTAAATTTTTTAAAAAATTAAGTAAAGAAAGAACCTACGTTGTAATTTTAGGGGGATTAACAAACCAGTTTGGTCTTTTCCAGATTTGTTTGTGTATCTCCAATAATTCTGAATCGCGCGCGTAGCGCGCGCAGGAAAAGGCTAGTATAATAAAATTCAAATAAGTAAGAAATAGCCATGATCGAATCTAGACCTTAATACTTAATAATATTTTTATATGTAATACATGTAAATATATCTTTCGGTTATATAAACTATAGCGTCACAAAAAATAATTTTTTAAACTAACTTGAAAACAGAGTTCACAGAGAATCTTTTTAAAAATTTAAAATGAAAGAAATATATAAAAGTTGGCAATAAATAAATCATATCAGAAATAATAAAAAGATTCTTTTCTCTTTTAATTAAAGAGTTATGAATTATGAAGAGGGTCTTTAGAAGTTGAGCATTAAAGAACTAAAGAGAAAAATTTCTCTCTCGGCTGTCTCGGAGCTCGATAAATTTCGCATTTTTGAATTAACTGTCTGTCGAAGTTGACACGAGTGAAATCGTATAACAAGAACTTCTGTAATTTTAATTCCTTCTTGTATTTAATTATAAAATATTTAAATGTGTTCCAACATATAACAATTTCCTTGAATTACAAAGCTATTACAGTAATTGTCCATGTATGAAAATTATTTTTTTCAAGACATCAGCGTTAACATTGTTCTAGAATGTTTCATTATGTAGTACATTTCTTGGAATATAATCACGGGTTGAGTAACGATTTTGAGCAAACACTTCAGGCTGCAGACAAGTGCCACATCTATAAACAAAGCATAATTTGCTCGCATATTCAAAACATTGTAGTTGGATAGGAGTCCAGCATGAATAGAATATTCACGTGGCAATGCTATATTGTGCTTTAAAGCACGTTACGCAGTAGTATGATAGAATTCAAATCACATCCTCCCTTGTTTCTTCAAGTATTCAATATATACATACCTACGGACATTGACATGTATTATGATTGTTATTATAACAAAAAGATTAAAAAATTATGAAATATTTTATTTTCTTCTTGTTATTAAAATTTTTTTAATGTTCTTGTACATATAACGTTTCATTATTTATTTCTTTTACAGTCATAATTTTTGTGATGTAAGTAAAAATAATAACTTAACATTCAGGTTTAGAAACCGTATAAAACTGTATATCATTGCTAGAGAATTGCAACAACAAAAGTGAACGTTACGAGTACGCGCATTTTGTCGTTTACGCGAAACAGACCGCGTGCTCACTCCGAAACTGGGTCTCAATTAATTTACATTTGGCTGTATCCAGTGCACCACCCCATCCTAGTAGCCCTCTTGATTAATGGTTTAAATATTCGCGCGGTGGCGATATGAATTGTAAATTTCGTGGAACCCGCGCGAACGACCACCATCCCTCCATTCTCCTTCTCTGCGCTTCTCTTCCTCTTCTCCTTGGACTACCTTCGCGCGCGATCTCGAGGCTCATCCTGCGTAAATCTAAGTCCGATGTGTACACACATAATTAACGATATCGTGTTTCTTGTTTGCGAGTAGTAAAACTTCAATTGTACCGACTAAAGAAAGATCTATGTTTTATGCAACGAACGTATAAAGTGTATGCTAGTTTATTTAATTGTAAACCAATATCACACCTAAACAGCGTATGTACGTTACTTTTAAATTTACATATAATAAAAGAAGTTTATATTTCAATATTTTAACGTTTTACAATCTATATATTTATGAATTATGTATCTCGTGTTTGTGTGTAAATAAATAACGTATATAAATATATGATATTTATTTTAAATTAATAATTCCCGAATAATTCAATCTCCACAGATCCATATCTGGTCGCATAGCCGGCAGCGTCTGGTGGTTCTTCACTTTGATTTTAATATGCTCCTACACTGCAAATCTCGCTGCATTTTTAACCATCGAGAGAATGGTCACACCAATTAACTCACCCGAGGATTTAGCGGCGCAGACAGAGGTCCAATATGGCACCATCCTTAATGGTACCACTCTGGATTTTTTTCGGGTAAATATTCAAGAGAAATGTTTAACCTGTTCCGAATTAGACAAACGTCATTAAATTTTCTATGCACACTTCATTATCGATCCGCATTCATTTACCTTTTTCACTCGTCTACAGAAATCTCAAATCAGTCTCTACAGCAAGATGTGGGAATTTATGAACTCGCGGAGAGACGTATTTGTACAATCGTATGAAGAAGGAATAGAAAAAGTGAGAACAAGTAAGGGAAAATATGCGTTTTTATTAGAAAGCCCGATGAATGACTATATCAATGAGAGAGAGCCCTGCGACACGATGAAGGTCGGAAGAAATCTCGATGCCAAAGGATTTGGTATCGCGACACCGCTAGGATCCCCACTCAGGTGAGTTGATACTTGTTAATATTCAGAAAACTGCCCATAAAAATAAGCTTTTTTAGATTTTGTTAATAAAATAATATAAAACAAAAAAAAAGCAAAAAATATTGCAATAAAATTTATAACTTTAAGTGATTGTTTTATATTATTTTTTCTCTTTACGCATTTTACGACTTTACAGCCCCGTTACAATAATTCTAAAAAATATGTTACTTGTGACATGAATTATAATGTGAATTAGTAGTTGGAACTGTCGGAATAATTTCACATCTGCGTTAACAATTATTGTACTTTCCGTATCTCATCAGACGGCAGATATGACCCTTGATATATTTTCGTTGAACAAACAGGAGAGAGTAGGTAATTAACGAGGTTTTGTAGTCATCAAAGTGAAACAGAGATCCCTTTTTTTCTTTATCATTCTTTCATGCGATCACATCGTCTTTGTTTCTTTTAAATCTTTTTGCGGCCTTTCGCTTCTCGTTTCACTGTGTTCGGAATGTCATCGCACATCATTACACACAATTAGCATAGAAAAACTCATACTCTTTTCCATGCCATTACCCATTATAGGATACGTTCTCATCAACCAACGCCATTTCATTATGTTTCAACAGTGCATTAACATTTACCTTTCGGTTTGCATATGAAAAAAAAATTTGTTATTCGAAAAAAATCCTTATTCGAAATTTTTTGAACAATTAATCATGTTGTAATTCTTTTTTAGTTAATATTTTAGTTCAAATATTATTTTTAACACTAAAGTAACGGTAATATTAATTTTATTATTTTGGACTTTATAAATTAAAAGCTTAATAATTATTATTGGTTCATCAAGTAAACGATCTTTTTAAAATTAAATTGTATATTTTAAATATTCCCAAATGTTATAATTTTAATATTTGTTTAATTTTCTTTTTTAATATGCTAGAAAGAAAAATCATTTTTTTTAAATAATTTAATGTTTACCTACAATACAATTTATATCAATTTGATAATTTGTAACAATAAAAATTCTATACAAACGGGAATGAAATTTATCATATATTGCAACGATACTTATGATCCAATCTTTTACAGTAAAGGAAATTAGAAAAATCTATGAATAAGTATTTGTTAGTCCATTAATCTTCATAATGTGACTAGAGCAAGCGTACCGCTGCGACGGTAATACGAGCAAATTTGCATGTTATTGATTTTTTAACTGCGCGACTCCCCCTGGACGTTTTGTGTAACGCTCTGATCGTGTACCCGCGACTCACGCGCTGTCTTTAGATTGTCGAAGCAAGAACGTTGCTCGCAAGGCAGGTAATTGGGGGGTGGTATGTAAACAGCAGCTTTATTATGTCTACCTACACACCTACCGAAGAATAATGGCGCCATGGCGTCCTATTAATCTTTTTTCCTTAAGTCGAGAAAACTCTTTTCCTTGTAGCTTGAAACAGAAACTTCGTAGAATACCGATATTCCCCCAAGCTTAATTAAAGGAAGTTCCCCTAACTTTTTCTTACAATCCGATTAGACGCATTGCTATGATATTTCGATATTCCGACTACTTACTCGCACATAATTAAATCGTACTTTAATCCTAGAACACATTTTTGGGTCTCTTAGATCCAATCAAAATTTTATTTGCTCCATATACATGTACAAAGGAAAAAAAAAAGTTTTATTTTTTAACTTAATATAAAACTTTTTAGCAATCTATTCAGGTATATTCTTAAATCTCAGAACTTAAAAAAAAAAAGAAATAAAGAAAAGATTAAAATTATTAGTATAAGTCTCTCAAAGTTACAGCTTATCAAAGTCATAGTAAATTTTCCAGACTCATAATGTCTTTTCAGAATTTTTCAGAAGATGAGTGTAAAGTTATATCGCAAAATTACTTGATAAAAAATTGCAAGATAATACGATTACAAATCTTATTTAGCCGATATTTTCCCTATATACTACATATGTCTTATATACTATTTATTTAATGGCTTTTTTACTTAATATAATATGATATCGTAAATTTGGCAATGACAGGGATCCCATAAATTTGGCGGTGCTCTCTCTGAAAGAGAATGGAGAACTGGCAAAGTTAGTTGAACGATGGTGGTACGAAAGAACAGAATGTAGGCATGGTGATAAACCAGACCCTACCAGAAACGAGTTATCCCTGAGCAATGTAGCGGGAATATTTTATATCCTGATCGGTGGCCTTCTTCTGGCACTCGCCGTAGCTCTCTTGGAATTCTGCTACAAGTCGCATACAGAGGCGACAAGAGCAAAGGTAATATCGAAAGATGTAATTTTATAGTATACTTTGTCATATTTATTTTGTCATTAAATTAAATTACATTATATAAAATCAAAATATTTTTGTATATATAATACACCAAACTTTTATTTTATTAATTAATTAGTAAATATCCTGTTTAAGGGAGCCCCTTTCAATCTCCTTGATCTTGACATATGTTGTCAAGATCATGACCCTGAGTAATCTCTCCAACAGGTTTTAGCCATAACTCGTTGCTCGTTAAAAAGTTATTAACAAAATTTACACAAAAGTTTAAGAAATAACGTCTCTTTTGTTTTTAAAGCGGAGAATTTGTTTTGAAATACATAATTTGTGATTTTGTGATTAACGACTTTAAGCGAAACAAGATCCACCCCACATCCTTTTCCGCCTAGTGGCACACGACTTTTCACACGAAGCGAATTTCACCACACCTCCCCTTTGGGCTGTGTTCAAAAATATTACGCGAGTACCTCCAAGTATCATTTTGTCTTTGTTTAATACAGTGAACAACAAAGGTATAATAAAATGATATGCGGAGGCACTCGGATAGGATTTTCGAACGCAGTCTAGCAAGAGAAATTAGATAAGCGTTTTGAATTAGGTTAAAATTAAACCGGGATGAGGGTGAAAGGAAAGGAGCAGAGCCCTTCCCTCGTCCACGCGTTTCCTTCTACGTACGAAAGTATTTGGAGCAGAACAATTGTAGATTTTGTTTCGTCCCAAAAGCAGAGGGAAAAGGCTCCGTCCCTCTCCCCTGCATTCACATATTTTTTTTCCTCTATACTTTTAAAACTAAATAAATTCTACAATACATTGTTCTGTTCAAAATAGTTATAGCGTGTAGAAAGAACACGCATAGGCGGGAGAAGGGCTTTGCCCCTCCCCGATTTAATCCTAATCTAACCTTTATCTAATTTCTCCAGGTAGAAATATCGCTCCTTTTCAGTTGCTCATATTATACTTAGTATTTAATATCTCGGTTCGCAGGGAGAGGAGGTGGGATGGACCTCGCTTCGCGTGGAAAGCCATTACGTAAACAGGGGAGGGTATAGTATAGTTTTTAATATTATACATATGTGGCAGAAATAAGACGTTATTTTTTTTAACCTTTTTGTTAATAACTTTTAAACGAACAACGAGCGATGGCTAAAACTTATTGAAAGTTACTCAGGGCCTTGACTTTGACAACATGTCAAGATAAAAGTCATTGAAGGGGCTCCTCTAAACTGGATATTTACCAATTATTTTAATAATTGTTTAATTATTTAATATTTAATAATCTAACAAAATTTGTATAAAAATATAAGGAAGAGATTGTATAAAATTTCTAAAATGTTATACTTTTTTATAGATACCGCTCTCGGACGCAATGAAGGCGAAAGCACGACTTACCATCGGTGGTGGTCGCGATTTCGACAATGGACGGGTAAGTGATTGCAATCGAATCTTTCATTAATATGTTCGCATACGCATATTCGCATACGATATCAGTAGAGATTATTTAGCCAGAAACGCTTCGACCAAACGCGCCGCCGATCCAAAGAAGATAAAAAAAATGCAGCGATAATGATTAATGATATATTTGTTTAATATATTGTTTAAATGTTAGTTTGCTTAATGATACATGATATCAATCTATTTAGAATATTAAACATACAAGTAGCATGTGTTTGTACAATATTGTATTTGTACATATTAATAATAAAATACGCATAGTCTGTCGAATGCACCTTGCGCGGTCGTGCATTTAATATATGCTGTAATATTGTTATTATGTAGCTGTTTATTACGATAATACGCATCTGCGAATGTGTTCTCTCGATATTAATTATTGAATTTCCCGTTATAAACTACACATTAATTTCGTAAAAGAGGAGAAAAGATACGCAGGTGCTCTCGATCGGCGATGCGTCTCGTCGTGCAATTACTTCGGTCTCGAACCAAAGATATCGATGTATCATAAAACATATATACATTCGTAACAAGAGCATCGTACATTATACATACGCATATATACATGAAACCTATACATTATATCCATACATATAGATGAACAATATATAGAGTAACGCTTGGCATGCAGTTAGCAGCGTAAACGTTTAACACACTCTCGTTAGTTACATGGCCGGCGGTCTTAACTCGGCTGCATTTAATATCCCAAAGTTTCAGCCTTCAATCTCGAAGAGACCGATCGACCAGAGGACTTAGACCGTTCAATATATATTGACATACATATATTCTCCATATATGTATATATACCTACATATGTATGCGTACGTGCGTGCGATGTGCGGCTGGCTGGATGTATTGCGCTCTTTTCTGTTTCTCTCGTCTGTTTCTTTTTTTTTTTACTCGAAAGAACGTACGGCGGGTGGCGTACAAATTTGCTCGTTCGCGTTTGCGTTTCGTTCTATTTTGGGTTTTTGTCTCTAGTGGTACGGACTGCAGAGTTAGACGGAGGATGCATGCGCCTTTCCCGGGACCATATGTGAGTACTTTTATCCTTCTTTTAATCCCATTTCGTATACATCTTTGCTTTCTCCTAACTCTGTTACAATCTTCCTCGTTTTATCTTTCTCTTTCGCTTTCCGTGTCAAATGCTTCTGCACGATTTAGCTGCGGTTTGGATTACACTGCCATCAAATCCTGGAATGCTACCTATCCTTTGACGAAGGTTAAACCGATGCTTGTCACACGCATACACAAATGTATCTTTGTATGTCTCTCTAAGCATACAATTATTTGTAAAAAAAATTATAAGAACTATAATGCAATATACTTATATGTATAGACATGTATTAATTTCACAGAACATATCGTCCAATACGAATGTTTCATTAACACCATTATCAGCTTCCACATAAAAGTTTGCTTAAATATGCGTAATATGCGTAAAGAAAAAGAAACAAAGACACGTAGGGACTTAAGAAAAATTTGAGATCTTCATGAAAATTCCTGTTTTTTGTAATACTGATTCCTTTCACAGCGCGGGAAGAAACGAGTACTGGCTACGGAGGTACCAACATTGACTACGTTCGCGCCGAAGGTATGATTCTGAAGAGACCATGGTGCATCAAGAGCTCCACAGGAAATTTTTTGAAGATCTCTAATTTTCTTACGCATTGCTCCATCGTACATTGCTACGTCGGTGTATGGATATATCTGCACGGTGTATCCTTTATGCTCCTTTCAGAGTTGGATAGTATTTATGTTATAAACGAAAAAGCTGCTTTTCTCTTGAATTTTTTCTCACTTTGCAACAAAGATTCATTTGGTTTTCAATTTTAGCAATCTTCCGCAACATATTCGTTCATATTTTTTATTAGATCGACACATTTATTTCTAACAGCTCTTTAAAAATAAATCTTTGGATTTTAGCGCAGAATAAATTCTATTGCGAGGAAGATTGATAAAATCGGCTAAAAATTTTAATATTTTAATATGAGCAACAAATAAATATATTATACTATTATTTTTTGTATATAACTGCAAAATGTCTTCTTACGGGTTGTTTTGCGTGTACTGTCAAACTCGCATTATCTATCCCTAACTTTCCTCCACATTTATTTATTCAGTTTTTCCATTGTCAAATATTTCAATTTTTTTAAGCAGTTTATATGCGCTTATTTGGCATGGCTTAAGCAAGAATGCACCGCAAACGAGGTATAATGCGACGTATTGTGTAACGCTTTTCAAGTTTATTGTGCAAAATGTATAAACAAACGACAGACACATGCGTAAATGCGGAATTATTTTTATTGACTCGTTTTCTTTGTGTCGGCGTGCACATGTGTCTTATCGATTGCCCCGCAAAGTTTGAAGCAAAAACAAAATTCTTTTTTTATATTTACGGATAGTACTATTATTGCAATTTACAACGACAATATTGTTATAACTTGTGATACATTTTCGATCTCTACTCGGAGTAATAATATATTAAAAGGATTTTGTATATAAATATGTATATTCCAAGTTTGCATCGGCAACAGTTGTTATTACAAACGAGAATGAAATGTCTACATATATTTAAATTTATCGAATTATAGATCTATCGTAATAAAATAGCATTAAGCCATATAAAACGTGGGGAAAAATAATAAGTCCTATTCATGTTAGAAAACCACACCTATAGTTTTGCAATTTTTCACGTAATTCTCTGTTATTACACCCGAAATTTCGTCACATAAAATTCTTACACCTTTTATCAATGCGCATGCCTGAGCTAATACATCATCATATACTGTTCAGTTTCAAATTATCTACGATTCATTATCTACGATGTATGATTATCTTTAAAATTGTTACAACTTACATCCATTAAGATTGACCAACTTATAATAACATATTAACATTAATTGCTGTCGGGAATGCTGAAAAAAATTAATTCAATACGCCTAATGTTTATTTAGAATAAAAATTTGTCTACAATCTAAATAATCAATGATCAAAACAGTGTTTTAGAAAATAAGAAGAAAAGTTATACTTTTCATTTTGGTTTAATTTTCAAACAAATTTTTTAATTTCACGATAATCGAGAAACTGCAATAGTAATAGAAGGTTTATTAGCTCAAGCGAGTCTAACACTGTCTAATCGTCAATGTTGAAACTTCCAGTATTACGCACCAGCAAACGCGATTGGGAATACCGAGAGCGATCAAGTACACAACAACACACATACCCAGGTATAAACTGCTACCAGGAAAGCCCGAGCGACAATTCGCCTTCAAATTCGCTGCCCACACCCCCGCCACCACCGTTGGTGGCACCTCCGCCGCCACCTCCGCCACCCAGGAGACCACGAAGAAACGTAACCTTCGCGGAATCGCCACCGAAAAGCCCGAAGAGGAAGAGTCCGAAGTTCATTTTTCAACGGAAGCTTAGCAGCATCGCGGCTCTCGATGTAGCGGTGCCATGGACACCGGCGTCCCCACGACACTGGTCCGGTCTGAACGACAAGCCGGAATACATCACTTAGACGCTAAATCAACGAAGAAACAATCTGCGTCTTTCCGTCGTCGTGGCGATTTTAATCGTCAGAGTATCGCTACAATGTTTGAACATTGTCGAGAAAACCTTCCTTTAGCGATCTTGTCCAAAAGTCGAATAATCCAAGCTCGAGTGATGAAGCAATTGAAATATGGAAGCACTGATATTTTTATAGAGCAATAATTATAAGATTCTAAGGAATTAAAAGAAGAAAAATTGTCTCTCTTCGCTGTAATACTTAACGCAGTACCGGACATTTTGGTATCGGTTTCAATAAACAATGCGTTATATTTATAAGATTTAGGAAAAGTTAAGAGACTAGTTCCTCTAATAAATATTAGAGAATATGCGATTATCTCGATATACAGAGTTATGCAAAGGACAATTGGATTACGGGCACGTTCGAATCGCGAAGAGTCACATTACTCGAGTCTTTGAATTATTCGATGATCGGTAGACAGAATCGGCAATATGAAGTAAATCATGTTGAAAAAACCTTTAATATCATTCTGTTCTCCTCTCCGCGGCTACTGTCTTCTCCACTGAGGTCACGTGATTTGAGAAATGTACATCTAATTGAAAAAATATTCATGAATCTTTCTACTTACGGAAAGTAGCATTAATGTTACTCTGCCATTTTTTAAAAACGACGACACTAAGAGATTAATATTGGAATTTAAAAGTATTTTATTACATTTTATTATTATATTCTTATCTTATTAAAAATATACATTCTTTGAACTCTTTTATTATTATCGAGAATAAAGCGAAACGTAGAGAAATGGAATAAAGTGGGTGTATAGAACATACATATATCGTGGGCTTCAGATTTGAAGAGGGAGCAGCCACATTCTCCATAAATAGGCGGTATCTTTCGCCGCGAAGTCGTCGCCTGAGAATATCGAAATATCTCTCAAGTTCTGAAGCTAATCTACATCAGTGACAAGAACAGAAGCGGAAATTCCTTTCAACCGAATCCTTTGTACATTGTAAATAACCGTGAGAGAATCAAATAAAAATCAAAAACTGAGACGAATTTATCGTCGGCGACGATAAATGTACTCGTCGCAATTTTGCGATAGTATAATGGTCCTGGGATGGGTGCATGTGCAACCAGCAACTTGAACAACACACTTACTGCCAAAATGCGTGAAGAGAAACGCATGATTGAAAAAATAGAAAAAAAAAAAAAAAGGGATCGCGGTGGAGCGAAATCGCCATCGCGAGTCATTAGAAACGTCACGTGCCAAAAGAGACTGTCGATCGTGACGACGACGTTACTATTATTCTTATTATTATTACTAGTTATTATGATTATTACTTATAAATTACAATTATCGATTACCGTGTATAAGGGGGTAACTATTTTGTGCAATGCAAGAATTGGAGTCTGGCGCCGCAAACGGCGGAGTCATGAGTTTTTTAACTGAAAGACAATGGGTGTACAATCGCACCGATGCGTGAATGTTAAGAGCGAGATAGTATATATAATATATAAATATATATAAATATAAATATAAATGCAAATATAAATATACATACTTATAGACGTTTATTGAGAGAGAAAGAGACCGTGTGTAAGCGCGTGAATTATAGCGGAATGCGTGTGTGAAACGTATGGATTTAGGTTAATCATGTAAACGCGTTATAAGTACCTAACAGTGCCAGATCGCGCCGATCAGGGTTAATAGATGGACGCAAGTATTCTCGCTTCTCGTTTCGTGTTTTTTCTAACTGTCTTCAAGCCGTCTTGCGATGGAACTTACCGTGCGTCGACGGATCGTCGTGATCTGGCCCGAGAAACGACGTTTACGCCCATGGTTTTCGTGCCAAGAGACGATATCCCCCGTCCGTATAGTTCGACGCTATTATTACCTACGACAGACGCACTATAAATGCACAAATGTGTATTCTTTTGAAAGCGCAGATTATAATTATGTAAGCCGGTTTTGGTCGACCAGAGTTCGATGGTCGCATTATTTCAAACAACGTGCCATTTTATATGTGAAAAAAATACTAATATAAAAGCAATGAAAAGAAATATTGATTAACAAATCTAATAATAATTGAGTGTGTTTATAGAACTTATATTATTGACAGCTGTTTAAATGGCATTAAGTAATCAAAATGATTAGCTGTCATAATTTAATATCAATTTGTTTAATATATTTCAAATATAGTAAAAAAATACTCATATACTGATATTTCTTATGTAAAGTTTCGCATACACTATTGCTCAAAAGTATTTGTCCATCTCGATTTTTATATGTATCCTTTTATACGCTTAAATTCCTTCTAATTCTATTATATTTTCTTTATATATTTAAAGTGTAAAATTTTAAACCACTATAAAAATATTATTATTATTGTTATTAAGTATAATATCTAGAAAATTAGAAAAAAAGATTGAAATTCACTCTTCTTTATTTAATTAAGGATGACAGAGTGGGAAAGTACTTTTGAACGCTAATGTATTTTATCAACGCAGTGCATTTAAATAATTCAATATCAAAAGCATGCATGACAAAAAAATCAAATTAACAATAAGCATTTGCACAAATTATATTTTCGATTAATTTTTATTTATATTGAAATATACATTGAAATATCAACGAATCGATGCGTAAATTTTAACAAAATAAAACGACTGCAACACTTTGTGGAGACTGTCAGTACGATATAAGCTTAATCGATAATTAGAACTGTGCTGAATTTTAAAACAATTCGAGAACGCTCGCCGCATGTAAAAATAACTTCAACCGCAATTTAGCTCGCCTCAGTATCGGACGTAAAACGGCGCGGCGGGGGAAATCGGTAGCCAAATTACGTGCCGCCACGTGTAAAGCTGAATTTCCTTTTTCAAAGGTATGCGCTTTGCCCATACAAATACACGATGAATCGCGACGTGACGTACATTTCCAATTCCTAGTTGTAAATATCAAAGATTGGATTGCCAATTTAACACGAAAGTCCTTTCACGTTGCGTCTTGCGATTATTGAAAGTTTCTATTCTCCTCATTCTATTTAATATACACTAGAAAAAGATTACAATAAGAACTATTAATTTAAATCTTTTAATAAGAATGTGTTAAATATGTTTAATAAATTTTGTACATAGAGGTATTGTGATACGATATCAAAATACGATCTCAATTGTCTAATAGGAATCCAGTGCGAAAACAATAGGAATTCAACAGAAATTTTGTGTGATAAAATAAATTGAGCTACACTGAAAAAGTGATTTTGTATCACAGTTTGTATTACTTTAATTGGAAATAATTTGATTGATTTAACAGTGGTATTAATGAAACAAATAAAATGTTATTAAAAGAAGAATATGATGCATTTGTTTCATTAATGGGGTGTTATTAAATTAGTAAAATTATTTTTGATTAAAATAATATTATTAATATACAATATTATTTTTTCAGTTTAATAAAACAATCGTAAAACATGATAAAGTAAATAATTTTTAAAGATTTACTCGTGGCGGCCATCGAAAGAGCGATCAACCTATCATATCGTCAGACTTTCTTATTACAAATAATTGTTATCTATCACCGGATAATAAAGCGATAGATAATGTGTATATCGGGTATTAAGTCGTTAAAAAACAAAAATAATGATAAACGTCGTACGTAATAATGTTACGAGGAGCAGCTTAGAAGGGATCGAGCGTCGAGCGAAAACGAAAACCTTCCCAAGACAGTGTCGAAGTACCCAGTGTGATTAATTGCCAAATGTATATCGCGCAATCGACAGCACGTTAGAGCGAAGACGCACGTGCGAGTGATTTAAGATAATCGAACAAAATCGATGACGCGTCTTGCGATCGCAACGCGTCCCGATCGTCCGTTACCGTTAACGTTTTTCGTGTTGATGTTCATCGTGACACTTTTTCTATCCCTGAGCTCACTACGGAAAACCAACAAATAAGTCGCGAAGCAATGTAACAATCCACGCGCACGGAACCGCGCATGAAAATGTTTAATGTAACGGATATCCCATCAAAAATCCCCCCTCGTCCTCCATCGGGTCGTAGAAACCCGATGATGCACCTCTTCGATGGATGGCTCTGTGTTACCAAACATCTTTTGGATTTCGATTGGATCACATAGTGGACTACGTCGAGGTAAACCGATGAATTTACTTCGACGTATCTGCTAAAGATCTCTAATAATTGATGTTAGAGTACTACATTTGCAAACATTTGATCCAGATTACCATCCGAAGGAAAGGTGTAGAAACAGTTTCGCGTTTTTATGCAACTACTTGATTACGTTTACATGTGTAACTGTGTGATTATATGTCGCTCCGAGCAGGAACAGAAACCTCGGAGACCTTTCGCAACACTCAATCGATTAATCTCCATTTTTATACGTCACGACGATCGAATAAACATTTCATTTTGCTCGATGCGCATTTTCCGCAGTACGCTCATCGATATTCTAGTAAAAGTCCAATTTGTAAAAATCCCAGACAGCACATGATGTCTATTGAACGTCCAATGGACATTGTGTACTGTCTAGAAATGGGTCCTTTTTATGACAACTCAAGAAAAAAGCAATTTACAAGAATTTGTAAGATCTCTACATCGAGCAAAATGTAAATATCCGCGTAATATACAAAAACATGTTTCTGAACTTGCACCGCAAGCGCAGCGTTGACACGTGTAAATGGAACGAGACCGCGCGAAAGAGTCAAGTATTTCCACGGCAAAAGAGGGAGAAAACAGAAAAATAGCGTCTTCCAGTTTGCGCTTTCATTCATCGCTGCATTCCACTTACGCTTGTATCTTCGATTCAATCTTTCGTTATCCCCCGTGCCATCCCGTGGCGTGATACGATCGACTCCCTTGTAAACCATTGTATACCAATCAAATTTGTCACAATACAGGATCGTTTATTTAAATATAACATGTAACATATGCCAACCTAATTCTATTCTTTTTTTTTTTTTTCACAAAATGGAAGGTAAGTGTGCTGTATATTTACAATTAATTCACTTTTGCTAACAAACCGTTCTAAGATTACATTTATAAAAATTTATCCTCGATAGATAATCAAACTTATAAAGTGTAGCAAATCTTATAAAATCGGTAATTCATATTTTATCCTGTGTCGCAATTTATTAAAAAGCATTTTCTGATGAGTCAGGGAATTCCACTGCGACCTACACCAGCAATACTCTTTACAAAATAATGCATTATCATACCGGCCATTAATCATATAGCCTCACTCCCTGTCTCGCAATCAGCTTCGCACTTTACACAATTCATCACAGTATACTAAAGTACATGATGGCAATTACGTTTTGTCATTATAAAGTTAGAAATGCCAACTTAGATAGCAACTTTGTTATCAGCAAGTTGATATTCCAAATTATTTTTAACGGATAACTTACATCTATTTGCAAAAGTTGAAAATGTCGAATACCAAGAAGCTCGTTAGTGAACTTCATTCGTTCGTAATTCTCTATATTTACTACTGTTCATTACTATCCAACTACCTTAATTAATTGCAGAATCGCATTTATATCAATTTATGCAGGTAATTTCAACATTTTTCTCGCAATCTTGCTGTCGAAATTAAATTAAGTTAATCATTATAACTATGTATAAATCAATTGTAAATTATTAAAATCAACTTTTTTCATAAAACCGTTATTTGTAAGATGATGATTTGCAAGATATCTCACGAAA